GCAGGCAACTTCTTCGAGGAATTTGAGGGCCGTTTTGTTCTTGGAGAAGTTTGTGACTTGAGATTGGGAGCCCTAATGTTTGACCCCAGGCAGCCTCACTGCGGATTTCAAATGAGCCAGGCCCGTAGAATAAGCGTGAGTGCATTCCAACTCTCTAGGAGTCATACACCTCCACGAGCGGTCCTTGATAGGCTTGCTGAACTGGGATACTTCCTGCAACCCCCCCCTACCACTCCCATAATCTCAGTCCTTTCGCTCCTGACCCGAAACCAAGCCGTGGTTCAGGACAGCTGCGGGAAAGAAGCAACGCCAAATCTGACAGCCGCGAACTCCCTGAACACCCAACAACCCCAGGCCGCCCCCCCAATCGATGAGGTCCTCGATGTGCCCTTTTTCGACCTGACTAGAGAAGAAGAAGACGAGGGGAGCCAGGCGTAGCTGGAGAGAGCGCTGATTTATGGTGACGGATGAGCGTGGTCGTCGTTTGGTGGTGTGTCAAGGTGTGTAATATACGTGACAACGCCAAAAACCGATGCATTGAATTAGTCTCGCACTGCCCTTGCCTTCCTTGCACTGCTGTCGCCTTTGTCGTCTCCTTGCACTGCTGTCTCCCTTGCCACTGTCTGCACTTGCCCCCTTTGCCCTGTTCTGCCTGCGCTGTCCTGTCTGGGTTGGGTTCTTTGGTTATCCTTCCTATAACTATGGTCCCTAGTAAATTTTCCGGTGGGGAAAACCAGTTTCACTCGTGCCTCTTGAGCTTTGCCATGGCATGCCTCACACCTGTGTCGATTCTGGCGCGAGCCTCATGGAGACACTCGCCTCCCGACTGTGACCCAAAGCTTACACAGTTGAAGCGACTGCCTTCACACTGGCCGTGACAAATACTGGTCTGCTGCGCAGCTGAAAGAGACCGCCGTGCAATGACGACCCAGTGAGCTGTCGAATCGGTAGGGCATAAGCTCAATCCTGCCTTGACATAGCGATGTGAGTCAGCGGATGGCTCCCCGCACCACAGAGGGATCGACGCTTGGAATTTTGCAGCCTCCCACTGGGGACATGCCAAAACTAAATCCTGGCTGGCTGTAAGTGGACACCTGCTTGGGTTTTACGGCCTCCCACAAGGGACATGCCAAAGCTGAGTTATATCTGACTGTACATGGACACATACCTGAACAAGCAATCACGTGACCATGGATGTGACAAGTATATCTGGATAGACCTCCAACTTTGGAAATGCCCATCAGGCACAAATGCCTTTTGGGGCCTATCGCTGGTCTGTGATAAAGAGGTGGCAGATGGTCCGCCCCAACTTGCAACAGACCCACATGGCTATATGGCTCCCTGCGCCGTCTGCTACCAGTGCTCTTATGGGGCCACTGCAAAGTACTTTACGGCCTCCCAAGGAAGGGACATGCCATACCTATACGGCCTCCCAAAACTGGGACATGCCTTACAAGCTACTCTGTGGGAATGGAGGTAAAGAAGGGCCCAGAAGGAAAGTCGACGGACCTGAAGTGGTCCGGGGATGCTGGCTGGTCATTAGGGATCAAGAGGTCCCTACAACAGCTGATGCACCCCCTGGAGACAAAATGAGCTGGATGCAGGATGCCGGCAGAGGGAGATGAAGCAGCCGTCTGCCAGCATGATGGGCTGATGCTCCGGAGCCTGTAAACTGACTGTTGCTCTCACGGCAGAGCCAAGCTCGAAGATGTACTGAGCGGGCCAAGTGAACACCCTGGGACAAGTAGGCAGCGCTTCTGCCCTTGCATGTGAATAAGCTGGTTGGGTTAGCTGTTGGTGAGCTTGTTTATGGTTTTCTTGTAAGCTGAGGTGTGGTGTGAGTCATGGGCAGATTGCGTTGGAGCCTC